ACGTTATCAGCACCCTGTCCTGTTTCTTGGCCGTCCTCTTCACCTCTCTTCCTCTACCTCATGTGTGCCTCTCCGTACACATAACAAGTCTTATATAGTATTACAGATACAGTTGTCTAGATAGAGCTGGCCTTGCAAAAGTTCCTTTCCCAGAAAGCCCTCAGTATTCCCCCCCAAGTGATCCGTAAGGTTTGACCATTTCCCTAACAGGCCCTCTTAACCAGCTGTGCAATCCAGCCCTTGCCCATAGCTACAAGTTTTGTTAGCTTCTGCCACCTTCACTTGGCACATTTGGCAATTTCACACTTCCTGCCCAGTGCTTTTCCATGTCCTGGACATGTGGCAAAATTTACCTTACAAAACATTCATGACCTCAGTTTCTTTGTGGTTCTTTTTGTTCATTTGCTTGCTTTTCTCAGGTTGGCTTTGTGGGGTTGGGTTTTACCTGTTGCTTGTTTCCTTAAGCATTTCCAGTAGCCTGAGAACATCCAGACATGGCATGCAGCCAAAAGCATGGGCTCCAGTATGAAACTGACTCCCTGTATTTTCAAGACATACTGCAGAGAAACCATTTTTTTTCTCCTAAACTAAAAATTTAAACCAAGACTCTGCAACAAGTCAACATCTGATCCTTTGTGTCCAAAGTGGTTCTCAGTTTTCTCCCCACAAGGTCTGAATTTATCAAATAGTGAGGTGTACACATTGCATTAAAATCAAGTAAGAGAAAATTTATTGTTCACCTTTCAAGTCCAGCTCAGTAGTAAACCAATTCAATTTTGCTGTTAATTATGTTTGGGAGAAAAAGAAGAAAACAGGGAAAAAAAATCAGATTAACACATTCTGAGGTAAATAGTATTTCAGATAAATTTAATCTTACTTTTGAAAGGTGCAAACCCTTCAAATACGTCTACATGGAGAACTCTGCAGAACCTGAGGAAGGTTCAACACCGTAACAGTTACATCAGCATCTAACTCTATTAGTTTCCTTCCCACCCCCCCACCCCCCCCTGCAGGACTCATGGGAAAAGACAAGAATTTAGGCTGGGCCTGTAATTCCCATATCCAGTCTAGCTGACTTTAACCATAAGGGTAATTTTCTCCTAATCATCAAGTTATATTACCCCTTGAGTGTCCCTTCGCAGACTGTAAATTGGTGTTCTTCTCTCCTCTTGGAAGAAAAAGAATTAAAGAAAAAGCATGGAAAAAGATTGAAACCCATACAAACTAGAGGTAGACACCATGAATTTAGGAGCTGTTATTAAGAGGTACCAGGTCTTAAGTCAACATTCTTGAAGTCTAACCATATGAGCAACAGCCTCATTCTTTTTAATTATTCATCATCCCATTTCACAGAATCAGAGAATTACAGCATGGTTGGGATTGGAAGGCACCTGCAGTGATCATCTAGTCCAGCCTCCTGCTCAAAGCAGGGAGATCCAGAGCAGGTTGGTCAGAACCAACTCCGGTTGGACTTTGCATATCTCCAGGGAAGGAGAGTGCACAGCCTGTCCCAGTGTTTGACCTGCCCCACAGTAAAAAGCTTTTCCTTACATTTAACTAGAATTGCCCATATTTCTACTTGTGCCCACTACCTTCTGTCCCGTCACTGGATACTGCTGAGAGGAGTCTTGTTTCATGCCTCCCCGTCAAGTAATTATATACATTGACAAGCTGTCCCTGAGCCTTTTCTTCTCCAGGACAGGTAGTCTCTGCTTTCTCAGCTTCTCCCTCCTAATGATCTTCACGGCTCCTCGCTGGACTTGCTTCAGTATGTCCCCACCTTTCTTGCACTGAGGAGCCTGGCACTAGACCCAGCACTCCAGAGGCATCTCACCAATGCCAAACAGGAAGGGTCACCTCCCTTTAGTTGTTGGCTATGTGCAACCCAGTGTGCTGTTACCTGCCTCTGCTGCAAGGGCACATTGCTGGCTCATGAGCCACTGAGAGTCCTCTGTATTAATAAACTTCTGTAGATGCTGGCTCAGCTTTCCACATATTGTTTTCAAATGTTTTCAATCACTACTTTTAAGATCAGGCTTTAGAACAATGCAGGCAGATGCTACAGAGAAAATTCATGGCTGTCATAACTGGACCCAACCTTATTACAGTAAGATGTAAGGGTGATACTGATATTGTACATAGCGACTTACAAGAGAAAAAGGACTGGCAATTCCAGAGTTAAAACCAATCAAACAGAACTGTCAACTTTACCTGGGAAGTTTTCTGATGCCTAAATGAATCTTCTCTAATTCCACATTCTTATTAATTCTTGTAAATAAACTCTCTCCTCTGGATTACTGTAATAATACACTAGCAATAGAGAGGATAAAGAACAGCATTTCCGTGTCTAAATAACACCCAATATCTGTTCCACTTATCACATCTCATTAACAAGAAAAAAAGTAAAGCCTTCCTGAATGTCTTCAAATATGACAAATTTCATTAGCATTATTTAACCTTAAAAATGGTAAAAATCTGTTTGAAAATTGCAGTCTAATAGTACCTTCACCCACCCTATATTATGCTATCAGAAATGGGTTACTGTCATGCATACATACAGACCAAATACTTTATTTATTGGCAAGGCAACAGGGAAATTCACTTAATGACAGGTTCTTGGACTAATGTATTATTCATTTTGTTACATGACAGTAGAACAAAATTGTACCCATAAATATATAATCTTGTACACCACTTTTTAATGTAGTTTACATTTATGAAATAATTGGCTGGTTTCCACCACATTATCTTCTCTTTATTCACTTTTTTTTAAGCGGGTGCCATAAGATGCAGTTTGTGACATAGAAGATGCATTCATTACAGGAACAGAGGCAGCAACCAGCCTGGATAAACCTAAGAAATTCAACCTCCATTTCTGAAAATATCTTTTTGTCTCTGGAAGGATTTTGGAGGTAGTTTTACAGTATTTTTCCACATATAAATTGCTACTTTACTAATTCTTTCTTATGATTAACATTATGTATTTTTAAATATATTAACACATTTGAGGTCAACAAACTGTATCTAATCATCAGCACACTTGCCTTCATGCATTTAATTATATGTTGGGCATTAACTTAAATAATAAAAATACTCAAACCTTCTTAGTCAATATCCTACAGCAAGGCAAGGCATGAGCAGAGAGACATCTCATCACAGGCAACACTCTCACTGGCAGGCCTGGGTGCTGGCAATGCTATCCAGTAATGATCCCAAAACAGTCAAGTAACAAACCAAGTCCCAGATATATCCAGGGAGCCCAGCCTGAGGAGACACAGCCAAAGAAAGGACTACACTATAGGTCCAAAATCCATTCAGAAAACAGGGCTAGATGCAACCTGTAACATGTGTCATAAGGGGCCCATCCAGGAGACAAGCTGCTAAGAGCTGGAGCTGAACTAGGGCCCTGGGCAGGTGAGGATGGTCAGGTGAGAGTGGAAGGCCAAGGTGAAGATAGTCAGGGTAATCAGTGTCCTCAGAGCACAAACCCCTTCCAGCTTCCATCACACCTTCGCTCAAGCTTTGTTTGCCTTCATAAATTGTTATGAGGATCATCTGTAGATTATTTTACCCTCTCCAGTCACTTGCATAGTCTCTTCAGTTGCTGCTCTCACAGGTTCACATCCAGTTCTGTGTTAGGTACCCTACCAGTTACTTACACCAAGAGGTCTTTCCTTTAGGCAGCAGGGAGGTGTAGGAAGCAGTTCTCTGCAGTCCCGGTGCCAGTGCAGCACCTCCTGCTGTGCAGGTGGCTCCTTTCAGCCTGCTCCCCGGTCCTCCCACTCTGCACCAGCTGTGAAACTCCCTTCTGTCTACACAAGTGAGGAGACTCCAGCTAGCAGGCTCTGTAACAACATTGTAATGCATATAACAAAACCTATTCCTTCCTGAAGTCTTCTAAACATTTTGTAAATCTTTTGCTTTTGCCCATCAGTAACAGATGAGTCTCATGGACATCAATAGGGAATTTCACAGTGCCAGACAAATGCTGCTCAACTGCCAAAACCAACACTGAATGACTGCTTGAGCAGCAATTAAACTAGAACAATGCAGTTACCTGGAGCCCTCTTCTAATCATTCTCCCAATCCTGTGTTAATTACCTCTGCTGGAGTAACTACAGCAATGATGAGCCTGTATGAAAACAAAAAGTAAAATTATATTAAAAATTCAGTAAATTATGCAATATTACTTCCCATCAAAATATTCTAAAATATTCATGTTCCTAATGTACATACCCTACAAAGACCCTAGGATTGTTTGTTAGACTTCTTTGTATAGCAGATCACTAACTGCCATTACCATTGAAGTTAAAAGGAAGCATTTAAGAGCTGCTGAGGCCCCGCAACTAGGCACTACTTCTGTAGTGGCAACGTCACCATGGGGTTTAAGAGGCAGCCAGAGTGGAACACAGGCTTTGGGAAGAAGAGCATGTTGGCGTCACTTGAGGTAAACAAATGGCCACGGGCCTCTTCACACAAAAGCCCTCGCTTCTCTGTTTCTCGCAGTAGCTGTTTGGCATGTGTGCATTACATAGGCTCGAAAGCGATGTTTTTGTATGAAGAAAGGCAGCACCACTGACGTAACTGCCTAGGTGTTAAAAATACTGTAGCTATTTGCACCCTGCCGGTGCCACTCCAAGCACCTTTCTCTGTGCAGGGCTCTGGTACCTCCCCCAGCCTCTCACCGTCGAGGCAGAAGAACATCGACCACGTTCTGCCGTAGCAGCAGCACACCTGTGTGCTTGCTCCGCAGCCCACTTCACCCTCCGTTTCCTCACATCAAACCAGCGCCGTCCCTCGTTCCCAGGGCGACCGGGACCGGGGCTCTCAAGTTGCACGGCTGCTCCGTAGCACTGAGGGCTGGCTCCACGGTCCGCCCGCAGAGGGCGCCCGGGCCCCGCTGCTGCGGCGGCTCGTGGTTGCGGCGGGGACCAGAGGGGGAAGAGGAAAGCAAAGCAAAGCAAAAGGAAGGGAAGGGGCGGGCGGCCCAGCCTTCTCTCCCGCCTCCCCTCCTCGGCTGGGCAGCCGCCGGGACTGCTGGGGCGCTGCGGGGCAGGTCGGCGGCCCCTGTCCGCGGGAGCGTAACCCCATCCCTGTCCGCGGGGTCTTCAGTGGGGAGAAACTGCCCTCCGTTAGCGGCGGCGCGGGGTAGAGGTGTGCGGCGCCCAGTGCAGTCGGATCCCCGGAGCAGCAGCCCCCGGAGCTCTCGCCAGGTCGGTGCCTGCCCCGCTCGGGTGCGCGTCCTCGCCTCCCCAGACAGGTCAGGTCCGGTCCGCCGGGGCCGACCCCGCTCCGCTCAAACTCGCTTTGCCATGTGCGTGGGGCTGTAGAGCCGCCGCCCTTTTTTAAAGCCGTTCTTCATTATTATTCCTTTAACGTTGCCTCCCCCATTCCCGTTTCTCCCCTGAGGACCGATTGCTGTCACAGTGCGAGGGCCAGGCCCGGGTAGCACCCGAGATCTGCAAGGCCGCAAGCAGCTGCTGCCCATGGACCATCCTTCTCGCGAGGGATGGTGCCCAGGGGTTTCAGGGATGCGATCCCGTCCAGACTGTCCTGAAGAAAGGCGCTTCCTTATATTTTGTTGTTTTGTGGTTTGTTTGTTTGTTTAGTGTTGTGGGATTTTTGTTGTTGTTGTTGTTGTTGGTTTTTTTTCATCTAAGTTGGAAATAATCTGCGATAACAGGGCTAGGCTTCTGGGTAAAATTTGGTCTTGCTTTCTCATCAGATCTTATCATCATTCACAATCAGGATTTGTGTAAAAATGTGTTTAGAGAATAGCCAGAGACAAAATACAATGATTTAGTTAATATTGGTGTTTGAGGAAGCCCTGAATTATTCCTTAGCTTAGCTCCAGTTTTTCTTTTCACCAGGGATAATGAAATTATAAATACTATACAACTGAACATCTTTTGGATTTCAAGCTGTTATTAGCTGCTATTTAAAGAACTTGCAAATCTGCCCAACACACATATCTGACATCTTTACACATTACTAGCAATGTCTCATACTTGACATGCAGAAGGCAGCAGCCAGGACTCATGGATGTGCACAGCAACTTGGCCACTGGAGAAGCAGAGACTGTGGCAAGTCTCCCAAGTTCCAGGGAAAGCTTCCTCTTCCTCACTTGCACTGTGAAGCTATTCTTAGTGAAGTGGATTTCATTTATAAACCATTGACTATTTGTGTTTGCATGTTTTTACTCCAGAATAAGGTATTAAAATAAGAAAAAGTGTCCAAACAGGGGTCTCAAGCTCCTAATTCTTTATTACTAAATATCTTGGACCATAACAGTTTATTTCTAGCTAGGCAAACACTAAACCTTTTCAGAAAGGTATGATGTCAAGGTTCCAAGTTAACTGTTCTGTGAAAATAATAGCCTTACTGTAACTTTTCCAAACAGTAGTAACTAGTATTCGGGCAATACTCGAAGACAGAACATGAGGTTACAGGCAAGTTATAGGAACGTAAATCATTGTTCAGTATTATTTTATCTCCTTGTCATTGGCAACATAAATACTATAGGAAAAAGTGTCATCGCAGTCTCCTTATCCTCTTTTCAGTTGGAAAGCACTTAATGCAAGAAAAGAAAAACGAAAGGCTTTATTTTTAAATGTTGAGGAAAAAATCAAATCTCTGTGCAAGAATGTAGATATTGGAAGAGAGAAGCATCTGTATTGGTCTAATTCAAACACCTTTATTTTTTTAAGCTAAAAATGTATGTATGAAATACTTCAAGGACAGAAGACAGTTTATTTGGTGAAAGATACATCCGAATATGGTGCAGCCAGTCCAGGTGTGAGAATAGCTGAATATCAATTGCTGACACCATTGCCTATTGCCTTCCCAGCAATGGCAGGAGAAGTTCAGGTTTATACATTTAGTTGATGGCATCCAGTTCTGGCCACTGGTGGAATGCTGATATTGGGCACTTAACGGGAAAGAGTATTTTGCTGGGGTTTTAAGAAAAGTAGCAATTATTGTAAGCTTAAGAATACATTCACAAGGACTGGCAACATTAACATTATTCTGCTGTGTAAATGTTAAGTAATAACAACCCAAGAATACCCACATGCTTTAAATGTGTTAAGTGCGTTGTGTGGCAGGAGGCCAAAGCTCAAGTCTTCAGTCATCTGGGAAGTGTAAGTGGCCTGTCTAATTCCTACCGCTTTTTAAACTGTTTGGTTTTCCATAATAGCTGCAGGGGTTTGGAGCGGGGAATAGCAGAAGATCACGTGGTCGAGCCTGAACTGCCGTGGTTGGACTTGCTGCCACATAGTCCTTAACCTTACAAGAGAACTTCTGCATGTGAGTCCAGCAGCAGTTCTGATATTCAGACGTGGTTTTACATACCAGGTTAAACCTGAGTTTTCAGACATGAGTTTAAAATACCCATGTTCAGTCTTTTTTTTTTTTTTTTAATCTGACATGTTTTGCTTATCTTGAAATGTGCATTTTAGGATGAAGTTTAATGAAATGTATAAGGGTTTTTTTTTTACAATATTTATGAATGATTGAAAATTCATGCCTCAAACCTGCCTCCTAAGTAGTAGGTATGCTTTGGTGTTTCTCCCTATTTAGCAGGTAGTAAAACCCTGCTCTGCTGCAGAGTACCAGAGTGGGAAAGTTTAACTGAAACATCGCTTAAAACTTTTTTTTTTAGTTTTAATAATTATTTTCCAAGATGGCTACAAAGTCTCATAACTTCGCAAGTCTAAGCTGACTATATCTAACAGGCTAAGGTGAATTCTTAGTGTATGAATAAATGTTCTTTTTTTGTTGTTCAGCTGGTTTAGGTCCAATGATGACAGTTCTCCTGAGAGGCAGCCAATTTCTGCAGAAAATTCACTCCAGTTAACACTGCAGATACCTGAAGTCTCATGAAAAGAAAAAGCAGGTTTCTCAATGAATAGAAAAGTGAGTCCTAACTTTGCACTGAATGATGTGCTATAAAAACAAACTTTGTGAACCTTTACTGGGATTTGATACAGTGTAATGCATAATGAGGGTGGCTCCAGACTGTTGCATTGTGAAAGGGTACATTGTCAGCCCTTCCAAGACCTGTCCCCCTGTGAGTGAAGAACATCAAAAATCCCAGCCACAAACATCAGGCCTTTAGGGACTGCTGTCTGTGAAATACTGAGTAATATTATTCTGGTATAGAGGGTTACTCTTATAGCTCAGTATTATCTCTTCCTGGTTTTCAACTTCTCCATGCATCTGAGGTGTTCCAAATGGTCTTAGCCGTTTTCTTTCTTGTTACTGGTTCTACATCTGCTTTTAAATACTAAACAGATGAACCCACTAGCATAGTAATTATTTTGTTGGGTATTTTATTGTTAGATTCCTCTGTATAAGGAATTACTGACCTTCAGAGGAATTAAGTTATCATCAAAATGAGTAGGATACCAGCTATTTTTTGTCAGGAGGCAGTTTCAATGAATGGTAGTTAATAATTACACATTTTTGTTAAGATTTTCTTCAGTTTTTTAGTGGTTAGCCTTCTAAGTAAACATTAACATTTCAAATAGGATGGATATTTCAGCAGAACAAAAAATATCCAGAATTATATAATTGGTTACAAGAAAATATTTTTGAAGGTCAAACCTACTCCTCTGTTGCTTCAAAATTTAAGCCACATTATACTATTATGTTTCATTCTGGGGATTTTGGGGGCAGGATTGCTCTACATTTGCCTTCTGCAAGTTTCTCATGCTTTCAGTCTTTCTTCATATTAGTGTTAAGGCAAACTTCTTGACACTATGTTGAATCAGTTGTTAGTCTGATGGGCCAGTTAGATTCAAGTAGACATTAATGCTAGTCTGGAATCTTGAGTCATAAATTACTTCTTTTTTTTTAACATTATCCTGAAATCAGTTGCATAGAAAACAACACTGTATTTGTGTTTCCTACATATGAGTGGAGTATTCAGAATCTGGGCTAGTACCATTTAAGAAAGTACTGTTAACTTACTGGCATTACATTGGGCATGAAAATCAGACTTTTGATCATAAGTGTAAATAAATTGCTTGGTTTACTTTACACTCGGGCAAATTGCTGGCACCTAAGTGTAACTGATGGTCTCAGTCTAACACAACCTCAGACTAAAATGCTATAGTGTATAAATCTGGAGTGTTGCAGATTTGTGAACAGCTAATGAGTGTTATGGGCTATGAAGTATTTTTCTTTCTTGGAAGACTAACTTCTCTTCTGTAAGCAATAAATGTAAGCAAGCTTTGTACAGTTAATGTCTTATTCACACTAGCTATGTTTATTTCTTTGAATTTGGCAGGTTCGTTTATGAGATTGGAAATAACAGTGATATCAAGCATCCGTCTGGATGCAGAGGTCTTTTTCACAGAGGATAATCAGCATTGGTAAACAGATTTGCGGATTTGCATGGGGTAGAAAAGGAGGCAGAAATAAACTTGTGACATCAAATCGTGGTCCAGGAATGATGGCTTCTCAGCTGAATACCCATGCTTTCAATATCTCCTCAATAGAGGATAGGAGACTGTGCATAAATGGAACACCATGGATTTGGCATCTCCTGGAAGAATGTGTCGAGAATGCGTGGGAGTATTGGAGCGTTGTCATAGGGCTGATTTCCATTGTCTGTTTTCTGTTTGCTGCACTACCGTAAGTTTAAAGTCTTAAGCAGTCCTCAGATTCAAACATGAGTAATCTTGCCTGCAGCCTTTTTCAAAAGCTGCATTTTTTTCATTTTATCTTGGGTATGTTTCTCTATCTGCATAATACAGATATAATACGCCAGAGAAACATGTTGTTCATGTTTGCAAAAATATTTGGTGGCTGACAAATGAGCTTGATGTGCTGTTCTGGTGTACTGACTTGACACTAATCTCTGCCACTTAGAGCAAATGAGAATAAATCACCTCTCTTATCTTTGCCATCCTGAGATATGTGTGCATGTGCAGGCATGCTTGCAGTGGGAGCTGGCTTAGTGTTCATTCAGACCATATACTATGTCACCAAAACTATTGTGCTGGCTCCTGCTGAGTAAATTTGGCCTGGGAAAAGGTCAGAAGTGATACATGAGTTAACACTTTGGTAGTGCTAAATCAGCTGCTGTTTGGTTGCTGGCACTGGGTTCGGGTTTCAAACATGTAGGGAGGAGATGACAAAGGAAAAGTAGAAATGTTCCCAGCAGGTGAAAATGCCTGAAACAAAATGGGATTGACTCCAAAGTCTGTCCCCATAAGGGGAATATAATTTACTGAACTAGTAAAAGGGCTATGGAAATGAAGCAAAATAAAACCAGTCTTAGTAAGCTGTTTAGCTTCAGAAATATTAGTTGAAATATGAGTTGGAAAGGAACTTTACATTAAAACTGTCATATTAGCATGAAATTCATCAAGGTATGTCTAATGGACTCATGTCTGGGATTGCTTCATAGTCCCTGTTGCGATTCTGAATAACAATTTTCCAATTTAGAGACATAAGCTAAATCTAGCTTACTTAGCTGCTCTTTTAGCAGCTTTGTTCATTCTTAGCCCTTCTCTGTTAAATAACAGTGGATTTTCTTATTTCAGTATCTTAAAGGCTGGTATCTACAGCAGGCAAATATAAAATGGTTCTGGGGCATTCTGGAACATGGTTCTGGGGACCAGAAAATGGTGTTTTAATACCATTAAAACCGAGCTCATGCAAGCAGTAATAAGGTTGTGATTTGAGTCTTTTTTTATGTTAGGAATGGTGAACTATAGCGATACTAAGTTCTTCAAAGGTAAGTGGAGTATTGCTGTGATAGGTCTCTTGGGGCTAGAGTTTTAATTTTTCTTTATTCAGATTTTGAAAAATATACTTCTGAACTTATTAAACATTTTTTGGTTATTGCAATTACTTCTGGAATTTGTGCCAGTCAGGTTTACGTTGCCTATCAGAATGGAAGAGTGGATCAAGCGCTGTCTTTGGGCTTTCTGCTGGGTTGGATAGCTGGAGATATTACGAACTTCATAGGCTGCTATTTAACAAATCAGCTGCCAATTCAGGTAATTTGTCAGTATTCATACTTTTTGACTTATCCTTTTCAAACCATCTCCTTAAACTCTGAGATAACTTAATCTTGCACAGTGAAGTGGATACCGGGAAAGAAAATAGTTCTGTATTCTGTTCACTGTGATTTGCAAAACAGGTCATAATTTTCTAAATATTTACATTGAAACTGTTATGCTTTATAGGAACCATTTCACATGTAATTAACATCCAAAGAGACTTCCTAGGAGTTACTCAGTGATGAATGAAGTGGGGAATTTTCTTTTGAGCTTCAGCATCAAAATAAGCTTGTAGAGTACATAGGGCTGGAAGAGCCTGGAAGGCTGTTGTGTTGTTTAACTGGTTTGGGGCAGCTACTCTTTACACTTCCTCTTGTCTTTTTATTTATTTTAAGAAAGCTGTTTATTAACAGGGAAATACTAGTTCAAATATTGAAAATACATTTTCTTCACTAAAAGGAGGGTTTCTCCAAAAGAAACAGTCATTTTCAGCAATACATTGTGCCTGAGACTATCTGCAGTTCTTTTTTTTTGACTGTTAATTAAAAGAGAAAGGGCTTTGTGTCAGCCACCTGCAGAAGTTTTCACAAGCTGGAAATGGACCCCAAGCATGGATAGAGTTGTCTTCTTTTTTACAAGCTAATGCGTGATGTTAAGCGTTCCATCTCCCCATTATGAAAAGGTGAAGAGAAAGTGTAATTTTGTCTTACTGCAATAGAGGCACTGAGTAGAATTAGTAGCTTCTGAAATGCTGGGGAAACTAGGTGGAGCAGACTTAAACTTTTGGAGAGGAAGGATTTATAAATCTGCCCAGGTAGGAATTTGTGCTGTGCATCCTGGAAAATTACCAACTTTTGCAACTGTGTTGCATAAGGTTTACACTGCGTTCATCTGCTGTGCTCCAACTTGTTTTGTACAGGAAACTTACTTTCTTTTTTGGCAGTACTTTGTTATTTGTCATTCACATTATGATTACGAAGCAAAATTTCCATACATTACATTAATGTGTTTTGATCTACTATTTGTATACTGAAGAAACAAATGGATCTTATCTTTCAGATTGTCACTGCCATTTTTTATGTTAACATGGATATAATTATGATTTCACAATTTGTCTACTATAAGCTCAAGAATCAGGAAATGAAAAAATGTAAGTTTTTTCAACAATTAAAATGTTTTCCATAATGTAGCACACTCTTTGCTTTAATATTTTCTACAGTGTTTGAATATTTTTTTTTTTCAGAGGGATCAAAAAATAGAGTGCACAAATTCTGGTTGAAGTTGTTAGGCCCATTGCTTCCAGTTTTCTCAGGTCTTTTTGAAAATCCTGCCCTGTGATTTTCTCTTTTCTTACCACGTAGTATCTGTAAATATTTTTAATGTAGTACTTTCAGTTTACATAGACATAAAAAAATACAATAGTTTTGGGGAACCTGGCCCCATGTTTTAACTTACTCCATGTTTTTACTATCTACTTACAGCTATTTATGTGTAAGTTGAAAGCGTTATTTTTTTTTGCGTGGTTCAGGTAGTTTCCTCCATGTTGATTGAAACGGACTTTATTTGCTTTTAGAATAAAATATATTGACATCTTCTTGTGTTCTGTTTCCATACATATGGTTAAAAAACATTCAAGGGGAATGAAATTAAGACTTGAGTTGTGCTTCCTAAAATCCTGGCAATAGTTGTAGCATTCAGCCTACCAATGGGCTACTGTTTTGACTGAAATGGAAGACAGAAAGCTCTGTTCACATTGTATCAAATCAAAAACATTAACTCATCAGTCTAAAAAGTATCGAAGAAAATCCATGGTGCATCAGAGGTAACAAAAAGCTGAAGTAAAGCAGATGCCTGCCTAGCAGACTAAACAGGGATAAAGCAGATTCATTCAATGTGGAACTGATAATAAACCTGGATATAGGTCAATGTTGAAGATCCTTCCTTCCTGCTGCCTACTCTTGAAAACAAACACAAGGTTTTGTGCATTTTAACTGCCAGCGCCTGTTTCAGCTCAATGGTTTGCATAGCTGTAGAGGTTTTGCTTAAAGCTGAAAAATAACTTTTGAGTACCCAGTTCTGGAGTGCCTACCTTAGCAATTTGGTCAGTTTTGCAGCTCAAAGTACAGCCTGTGGAACAGCAGGACTAAGTCTGTGTTATTTCACAGAATCCTATTTAGGCTACAGGTCTTTAGGGCAGGCTTACTAATGCCATAAGCAGTTTGTTCCACTGGTAACAGTGATCACAGGAGTTTACTAGCATCTTACAGATATGGAAGGTACTGTAGCTCCAGAGTTTTGTATGGTTGTCTGCCAGTTTCAGGCTGTCTTGTCTATGGAGACTTGCTGTATGAAGTCTGTATTTGAGTATGTGGGTCCTGGTAAGGCTTGTTATCTAGCTGACTATAGACGTGGAGACTGGTCCACCACAGCGCTGTATGAAAATGTTCTCGCAGTAGCAATGCACACTGAAGGAGCTCCCCTCCTGTTCCTGCACTTCTACCCTCAGTTATTGCACAAAGACACAGCACAACTATGATAGTGAGCAGGAGTGGGCACAGAGCCCAGAAGAAAGAGGTGAACTTAATTACTGCCAAGAAAAAGATACATGAAACTGTACCTTTACATTTACATATTTATTGCAAACAAAAAGTAACCTCAAATTAACAGCAGATGTTATTTTTCAGCTAATTTGTTTGTATGTCATTCTAGGCAGCAAAAGCCTGAAGAATTTCTGTATAACCTGGATCATGGTGTGTATAGCACTGTGTGTTATTTTACTCTGTCAGCTATTACTAAGAAACCAAGACCAGAGTGGAGTAATCGAAAGAAGTCATGTAAGTTCTTACCTGCTTCCATTCCAAAAAAATTCCCACCCAAGTGTCTTGAAAAGATTGTGTACTGTAAGCTTTAAAGAAATTTGGATGACATTTTTAACAATGCTTCAGAAATCATAGCTGTGGCATTATGTGGATGTTTTAACTTTGGACCATGCATCCCAAAATAAAAAAGTTATAAAACTGCTTCTTTTTTCAAACTGTGTTTCAAACTTATGCTGTCCCTTGGCTCATTAGGATGTGCCACTCTGCAAAGTAACTTGTATACGTGTTGGGTTTCTGCTTGTATTAAATACTGTGGACATCCATACAGAGACTACACAGCCATGAGTGAAATCAATAGAATTGGAAAATTACAATTGTACCTGCTGCTGCTGTCAGTTCAGTAGGAAAGTTCACAGGCTGTTGTAGCAATTTGATGGCCTTTATACTAATGCCAGTAAAATAATTGTAATCCAGCAACATTGCCCAGCAGGGAAGCAGTTTATTTTCAAAACACAGCTAGAGTGAAAAAACTAAGAGCTGTTAAACTGTGAAAATGAGTATTCTGCTTTCTCCAGACAGGATGATTCATTTTTTTAGTGGCCCTAGCTGCAGTTCTTAGTTTTGGTTTGAGTTATTGTGCCCAAGCTTTTTTAGCAGGAGGACTGGATTGATATTAGTGTCGTATCCTAAAGCCTGGCACTAGTTTTGATCTCAGTCATGGCTACAACACAGCAGTTTGCATTGTTGCAGATAAAGATTAAACCCTTTCTAGCCCTCTATGGTCATTTGAAGAGCAGCCCTGAACTGGTTTGAAAGGAGTTCTATCCAGAAAATCAGCCAGTGGACTCTCAGTTTAATCCTCTGAAATGCCTGAAAACATTCTTGCCAAAATATATGTACCTTTCTTTTTCAGAACTCTCTTGGTATGATTGAAATGTCAGGCTTCATTTGTGGCTATGTATCCTGCGTGTTTTACTTGGGAAGTAGATTTCCTCAGCTGTATAAAAATGTAAGTAGGTTTTTGGCTAAGTACGCATGTATATTTTACAGGATACTCTCTGTTGCTTTAGGTGTTGGATTCTCCATAACAGTGAGCCTGCTTGAACTCTAAAATGATTAAAAAAAAAATAAAAAGGGGGGAGGGGGTTCTCCCATTCAGAGGATAGTGAGAATTTTAGGAAAACACTGGTTTTAGATGGAAGAGAATTGATTTGAGGAAGAGGATGGGAAGAGGAAATGAAGTATTTACAGCTGAGTTTATCAGATATGAGCAGAAACAGTGTGTGTGATTGTTGTCGTGAGCAAGTGATATTTCCCCTTTTCTTTCTTCAAACCAGTCTACCTTAAGTAATGACCCATGGGATCAAAAGTTAGAATTAGCACAAAATTAGTTTAGAATTTTGGCCCCTTTTCAAAAAAGATACCATTACTGACTGACTTTTTTTTTTTTCACAACCTCTTTGTTATCAGCGTACTAAAAACCAGAAACAAACACAAAAAAGACCAGAAGTTTTTACACTGTCAGTTCTATGCAGGCATTTTAATTGTTTATAGAAATATTAGTTCATTTCCTAGCCTATTCATCTTCCCCTTTTACCTTTTCCTTCACAGCTGCAATGCCACAATATTTTCAAAAAGGTCTATTAAGCTGACTGAATAGACCAACAGAGTTTTTAAGAGCTAAATATAATTTGGAATCAGATTATCCTTGCTGCTTTACACTTACATAAAAATCACATTAGTCAGAGCTGGTTCTAAGTACTGTAACAACTGTAGTTTTCAGAGATATGTGCTGAAACTACTAAGTTTGGATGATTCAGAGCCCCAGAAGAGATGGACAAGAATGACTGAAAGTCTTTGGATGTGTTAGGGGACAGAATGCCAAATTATCTCTAATTGGCTACTGTGATACAGGTTTTAAAATTTGTGTTTGTAAAAACTTCCTTGTATTTAGTTCCGAAGAAGATCGACAGAAGGCACCTCTTACTTGCTGTTTGCGTTAGCCATGATGGGAAACTGTACCTATGGACTGAGCCTTGTTTTAAGGATGCCAGCTGCCAAAGCCTTCCAGGCCCTCTACTTCTTACACCATCTTCCATGGCTTATTGGAAGCTTTGGAGTTTTGTTTCTAGACATTTTTGTATCCTTTTCATGTTATACCTAAAGTTTCTCAATATAGGCTTGTTAATAAGTACATAAGAAAGTAAGTGGGGTTTTGTTTCAAAATCAATCTTTTTTCTATAATTCTAACCTGATCATAAAATCTTTCTAAACAATAATTTGTATGCTTTTTATAATGATATTTCTCCTTTATGGGTACATTGCACAGGTTAATTTATATCTTGTAGCCAATGTGTAGTGTACTAAAAGTTGTGGGGGGAGGTTGCACATTGTGCTACTGTTTTTCTTAGGTTTGCTCTCTGATTAAAAAAAAAAACCCAAACAAACAAAACACAAAACAACAACAAAACAGACAAGTAAACCAAAACCAAACCTGCTTCTTGTTAAATGCAAATGCAGAATTAGAGCTTTGAGAATTTGGTAAAATTGTGTTATTGCAAGATTGCATTAATGTCAGAGATAAAGAATGAGGTTTTGGCAAGCTTAGTTTCAGAAAATAGCACTTAACAGAGAAATGCTGCAACTACCCCTTAACTGCATGATTGGGGCAAAATCAGGTGTGTTGAAACACTGAGTGCCTCTGAAAACAGCGGCTATGCTCACAGAGTCATACTGAGGGCTAATCAACTACTTGCTTATCTAGACTAGTATGTGAGTTTTTTGAAAGTCCTGAGCAAACTTAAAACACTACAATTTTTTATTCTTCTATTCAGGAGACATACATGAGATGCCCACAGTATATCAGTTATTGTTAGTCATGCTTTCTGTAGATTAAGTGTTAACATTTTGTGATCAAGAAATTAAAAGCAAAATGTTTAGAGTAATTAGTGTACTTTTGCTTTAAAAGCCTAGTGAATAGTAATGTGGTGGTACTTGGTCTTACTATTCGCTATAGGTTTAGAGCCACCTGTTCTGTTACTATAGCTTGTATTTACTTTAAAAGAAGATAAAGAGGAGATTTTCTGATTTTTCCTAAAGTAAGGGATTTAGGTTTGTGTCTGAAAACATCTTGGTTTTCTGAAACCATCTGAAAGCATAGGTCCATGAACTCAAAGTATAAAACAGAGTAAAATGAAGAGTGGTTTCAGGACCATACTGAAGCGTATTATCTTAATACGTTCCATATTAAAAGGAGTTTCTTTACCAGATTTACCTGGAACAGTTCCAGAAGTTATGATTCCCAGGCATCAGTTTTGTCCTTCTGATTAAAGTAATTTCATAAGCCACTCCAATCAGACTAGCGATGCAACAGCCGACCTCGGCGTTCAAATGGACTGTTAAATTACACTGTCATTCAGAATAGCCATCTGTGTTTTTTGTATCTCCAGCCATGGCGATTTAAGTGGGCACTTCAGTAAAACGTTCTGCATTGTGGGAACACAATATTCCACTGCACTGGTAAGACTGAACTGTGGCCCATGGTCCTTTCTGAAATAAATTGTAGTTTTATCTTTTAGGAACTAGTGCAGATTCTTCTGCATGAGCAGACTGTAGAGATTCAGGGTTGCTGGCCTGTGTGGCTGGTTTGAGTGCTCAGGCCTTTTGTTCCATGAGTAAAGTAGTAACTCTTTCTTCTGCCCTCAGCTGGAAACATAAACCAGCCAGTATTTATTTACCAAAAAAACCCTAGAACTTGATCTTGATGACCCTTACAGAGCATTATGTGCATATTTGCAGATGCCTTTCAATGATGTACTCTGCAAAGGAACTTTTATATTTGCCACAAACCTCCCCCCCCCCGTCTGAGCCCTGCCCCAGGATTGCAGTGCCAGTATCCACATGACATTCATTTCTGGGTTCTGTCTTGATTGGAGTCTGAATCCAATCTTGCTAATAGTCCTCCAGTTTAAGTTATATTGAAAACAGATGCTTTCAAATCAGGTTGAGGAGCTTATAGGAATCTAGTCAAGTATATAGTGTTAGTTGAAAATGTATAAAGTATTTGTAATCAAGAGAAAACAAAAGCAGACCTCCTGCTTTGAGAAGCCCTGAAGGTAGGGAAGTCAATGCTTTTTAAAAGAGAGCTTCATTACTGTCTCTTGCCAAGCAAGTAAATAAAAAAATCTAACAAACTGATATGTCCTGTTAGACTAGAAAACAACGGCATCACCTGGGTTTTGAAAAATTGAGGAATTAAATCAAAAAGTAATGATTTCTAGGAGGAAAGTGTTTCATAATTGATTATTTGTGTAACACAGTCTCTGTTTTGATGGGTACTTGCAGAAATTGACTAATTCTAGTAGACTTTACTCCTGAACAGAGTCTCTGTTTTGAGGGGTACTTGCAGGAATTGACTAATTCTAGTAGACTTTACTCCTGATAGTATCCAGAGTTTCATTACATGGAAAATAAACTCTCATTTTTCAAGGTCCAAGCGAGGATTAAGAGTTCACTTACTCTGTGTCTGCTGCAGTATTCTTTTGCTTCCATCTGACACTGCTGGTGTGGACTATTTTTAGAAACAAATGGACTCCTGATCACAGCTGGAACAGCAGCTCCAGCATTATTTAGTGCAGGATTACACTGGAGTTGTTTCGCCTTGGTTTAACACGTTAACACAGTCATCCTGTTTCTTTGGTGTCTACAGTTAAAGTTATTTGGTTGCACAATAAGCAAGGTATTTTTGATAAATAATGGAAGTATCCAATTGTTCGTAAAGTATGAATTGTCCTCCTTTTTATTTTAAGAGGCATTTTGTAGCATCACACATTTGAATTATAAATGGGACATGTTCTTTTCCACTAAACGTTTCCTTCCAACTGCCGCTTTGCAGCTGAAGGTGTTTGGAGCCTCTCAAGAAACCACAGAGCTCAGGGTTTAAACGAACCTAAGAGGGCGTATCACCAGCCAGAGACAATTGGTCCAGGTTTGCCGACTGTGGGCTTAATTAGAGCTTTCTTTTGTGATTAATTAATATTTCACTTACAATACTATGTATTTTAAAATACGAAATCAGTTGATGAGTAGTTCTGCCCTTAGACCTGTAGCAGTAGTCATCACTAAGCTTTTAAGAGACTGAATCTAGTGCGGGTTTTTCCAGAAAACTTGATCCTTTTCTGTAGGTCTGTTACCCTCTTTCACCCTGCTTCCTTCCTCCCCTACTCTTACCAAAGCCAAACAGCTCTGCTTTGTGCTTAGTTCAGACAAAGCCCTTTACCAAGATTTTGCTTGCTCTTTTTTTTTTTTTTCCCTTTACATTTATTTATTTATTTATATTTTACATCACCCTGTTGTCACAGAGCTGTGTTCAAATCCTCCACATGTGCTTCTTTTCATTCAGTGTGGCCAGGTTGTTACTAGATAGCCAAAGTATACTCAGCAAGAGCCGAAATGTTGTACACAGACTCTTCTCTTGCACCTTTTATGATTTGCAGAGCAACCACTTGGAATCCATTATATACTTCTACAAAACATCATACTTTGTAATTTAATTACACTGTGCAAAGAGCATGTCTGACCTGACAATGCAGCCAGGAGTTTCCCAGCCAAACAAACAACTTCATTCTTATAAATGCCTGCTTCTGTCTCAAAACTGTTCTGGATTTTGTCATTAAATTGTTTAAAAATCTGATGTACTAGCTTCATAGCTGTCATAAACTTTACTCTGAGAAGTCAGTTTGGTCGTCTCCTCTGCTTTGGGCTGTCTGCATGCTTAGGTCTTAAAGTTTCCCCTAAAAAGGCAGACATGAGCAGCAAGTTAGTTTCTGTATTTAGTGGTCTTGGCAGTTTAGCATTTATTTAAAAAAAATATGAGCATCTGAGTACATCTGCTGCTAAAACATATTCTAGAAATACAGTTTGATAAGCTTCACATAACTTGTGTTTATAATTTATTCCACCTTAAAAGTTCTGTTGCTGTTGCCAACTCAGTGGCTAAGAGTGATAATGCAGTGCTAAAGAGCAGGCTTGTCCTGAGCCCACAGTATGTTTTCAGCAGGTTTGATTCAGAGTTCACAGGTTGCTTTTCCACCAGTGCAACTATTAAGGCTTGAGGAGGTGCTCAGCTGCAAGTACAGTAAGGCCTAGGAGAAAACAAGAAAAAAGTAGGAAATTTGAGTGGTAGCTATATATACTATAAAAGTAATTTGCAAAGCTGTAAGAAGAAAGTGTTCCCCACATATTACTATAGAAATACTAAAAAAGGCATGCAGAGCTGCTGTCTCTCTGTCTCTGAAGGAAATCCTGTCTAGTCTTTAGCTGGGGAGCCTCAGAGGTGGGGCACTGGAAAGCTTTCAAAAGGTGGGATAATTCCTGGGGCTCAGCCTAGGATGTAGAGAATTTCCTCTCCATTCACCCAGGCCTCCCAGAATGCTTTTTTTTTTTTATCTCCCCCCTCCTTATTTTTATAGATAATTACATACATTAGCCTCAGACTTCTCACAGCTATTGTCTACCAGCCAAGTTATTTTAGCTGATCTAAAGTGTTTCTGGTAGAATTCTCTATGTCAGATTCCTCCCAGAGAAACAAATTCATTTTTAAAATGGGATTTTATGTCTAGCAGTAGTTGTGATCCAGGCTCTGTGAAAACCTGGACTTACACACTGGACTTAGTGCAAGGTACCTGGGTATACAGATGGCCACTTTTGTCTCCACTCCATACCTTTAAAGCTGCTTTCGTGCAGATCCTTATGTTGGGGGCTCCGTACTTGACCTCATCTACTATACCTGCTTCTACTCAGCTAATATCCTTCTTAAAATTTGAATGAAGAAAATTGGATAGCAAGTAATGCTAGGATTAGAATACTCTACTGCTGAAATCACTCTGTCTTTTAGGAAAAAAGTACCCATACTGAGTAAAAAAGGTAGGAGCCATAAACCTTCCCTGCAGAGAGTGCTGCTTTGCTGGCTGGCATTGGTTTGCCTTTGTGACTGCTTGCTGCTTTGCATTTCATGTCACTTCCAAATCAATTTATTCCTTTATTCCATAAAATACTATGAGTATTTCATAAAATAAAATAGAAATAGAATACTTCAGGGCATAGCTGGGTAGAATTGTACCATAGCCTTGTATCTCAAAATGGTATCTCTATCTGAAAACAAAGTGGTTCAGTGCCTCAAGTATAACAATCCTCAACTCTCTAACAAAAATTCTGCAGAGTAAGAAATCTGTCCATTGCTCAAGTCAATAATTTCATTTGAGAGCTGGAGCCATCAAGAAAACAGGACAAGTACATATTTGTTAATGCATTTTAGATTAGCAGTGTTTCCAGTGGTCTGTGTTACAGTAGAAATAAATAATTATGTCTAATTGCAAACAAATCTGTATTGCAAACTGCATTAAGTATTGACTCGCAGTGATGTATACATGTCAGTGCCTGTAAATATCAAACTGCCTAGAATTTTTCAGGAAGTGAAAGTTTTGTTTTCTTATCAAGCACTGCTCATCTATTGCTAAGAAAAGTTTCTTAATAACTTCTCCATTTACCAGTGCCCACTCTTAGCCCAGACCACTGAAGGCTAGAGTAGTACAGAGCAATATGTTTGATTCCACATTGTTCCTAGGCAAACCTTGCTTCTATTCTGCTAATGAATTTCATGCTTAGGATCCTTGCATCATGAGGATGAGGTAGTGAAGAATGTTACCATGTGTATTCGAGCCATATAACCAGGGGGAACTGAAGTTTTGAGTTAGAATTTTTCTGTTCCCTTTTCTAGTGTTGGAGTAAAATTTAATTAAACCTTTCACCCTAAAGAAGTAGGAAAATGGGCATTAAGTAGGGTTTGGAAGAGGTTGTATGTGAATGTCAAAAATTCTGCAGTTCGGATTAAATAAAAATAATCCTGACACTAAAGTACGTGAATTAGATGCAGCTTTCCTCTGTGAACTGTGGTATTTGGAGTCTGTGCCAGAGCTAAATGGATGGCTGCTTTTATTCTGTACAGCTTATTTTGGTTTTAATTAAAAGCAAGTACTGCAAATGCTACCTCTGTATCCTAGTTAATTACTTCCTTACCCCAAAATAACAGGTGACTCTGCAGTTCATCCTGTATCGTCAGCAGAAGGAAAGGGAATCTGGTTTAGTAACACTGGAAGTGGAACCATTGCTGGTGAACGAGGAGACGGCCTAGTGTTGGGCTGTGTTCTGCTCCTGGGTTTTTCATTGGATTTTGCTCTTGGATTATTTTGACAAACAGTTAAGAGTGCAGTTGCTAAGGGACCAAATTTATTACTAATTATTATTTATTTTGTCATTAATTTCTCATTAGTTATTTGAAAATTATATGCCAATAATAAAATATTTAATATTTACTGTCTTGTTTTAGGCTAGATACTTTTTTTTCCTGAATTATTTTTTTCCCTGAGTTTAGCTATTTCTCCCTAAAGTCTGATACAGAGTGACAGCAGTAGTGCTGTAGAAATATTTATTTGACATCATGATACAGTGTGTATTGTGGGATGACTTTATTCTTAGATGAACGTGTACACCATGGTTAGCAGTCATGTGGCTGGTTTAAAGCCAATGAATAAGATTATCCCATGCCTTGAACCCAACCTGTAGTTACAGGCTGCTCAGTCCAGGTGTGTTATATGGTAAATTTGGCCTTTTTAAATTCGTACTCAGTTTTGTATGCATCCGAAGAAAAAACGTTGAGTGACTTCAATGCAAAGGATCTGCTAATGATGCAAAACTGGAATCCTGGTGTACGTTACTGGGAGTCTCAGGTACAGCTCATTGCAGAGCATCATTGTGCATTTTATTTTTAAGAGTTAAAGCATATGTACATCAATACCTGTCTGTTCCAAGGATTATAATTACTGTATGTCATCGTATACCCCATATAATGGTTTTGTATGCCATGAATTTTCTTCTGGTTTAGGTAAGTACCATGGAGGTTAAAAAACAAACAAAAAACTCCCTAGAAGCTAAGGAGATTGTAGCTTGCAATCACTTTTTTTTTTTTTTTTTTGCAATACTGTGTTGTGTTTGAAGAAAGCTTTAATAAAATAATCTCAAAGAATAAACTTGTTAATTTTTTATTGAATATATATGTAATGATTCACTCTTCAATAGATATGTTTGTGAACAAAAGGGGTCTTTCTTTAAAAAGGCCAGTATGAACATTGTATACATTAGTGGGTTTATTGTGACGCTCCTTCCTTTTGATTTCATGTGACTGGTAAAGGGCCATGATTTAAATTTTGTTTTTAAATAATAAATCCTAATGAATAATAAATTATTTTTTTAAATAATGAAAGAAAATAAGTGCAATCGATTGTGTCTAAATTGCTGCCAAAAGCATGCACTCTATGACCTTTTATAGGACTTCATGCACACTCATATAACCCTATTGAACAGGACTGGGGTGTTTGGGAGTTGGGAGGGGGGGATCAGCCTCATCCCTGTTGCCATAGATGGAAATGTAATTCCAGCTTCTGCTGCAGCAGTAAGTTATGTGAGGAACTGAATTCCATGTTCTTGCTAAAAATGAATTGGGTCCTGTCAGGGGATGGCAGACTGCGAGATGGTGGATTAGGTGTTAGTGGCACAACGTGCCATGGAAGGATAAACCCATTCCAGTGGCTTCCAGTCCTGCCACCTGCCAACAGTACTGCTCAGTAATCCTTGTGCTGGTGTTGTGGGTATAGGCAGTGCCACGACAACTGAATAAAAGGGAATTACTAAATTGTGTTATGAAAAGGCAAGTGCTTCTGAAATGTTTTACAGTTCTGCAAAATGTGGAGGGTTTACACAAGTTCTACCCCAATGAAGTTAGTTTATTATTCTCAGCTTCTACTTGGGAAGAACATGTTTTCCATGATTTCTGAAGCGAGTAGAGGGTATTAGAAATTAACCTTTTCAGTACCTAAATTAAATGCAATTTGTCTAACTCGCAGATTTATATGCTGTGCACATGAGATTATCAGTCTCTTGCCTGACTGGTGATTGAAACCATGACTTCTCACTTCTTAATGCAGTTAGAAATTGTTCTTATATTATTTCTTCAAAGATCATTTCCCCTTTTATTGCTATGTGTAATCCTGGTTTAGGATGGTTTTTTATCCCTGTTTCACGCTGCTGTTTGTTAAAACAGCCAAATATGGGGTATATAAAGTTACTGTGATTTGAGAATTTTAATGGAAAATAATGTAACTTTTTCAATATGAAACAATGATACCTATTTCTTGATAGTTCAGATATATGTAATATTTAGTATATGGGTTCAGTGAATGCTTATACTTGAGAAGCTCTTATTTCCAGTTAGCTCTTTGGCTTCAAGAGCTGATCAAATGCATACAGTAGTCCTTGCTGTTTCCTGTTGCCTAGTAGGATGATACTGTCTTTGTCACCCCTTTCTCAGCCCATAATTATTTTCTCAGAACCAGATCTTGCCATGTTGGAATAAGAAGGTAGAGCAATGCCCAAATATACCAGGTTAGAGACTAAAGGCAGATCCTCATCACCTCTTTGTTAATCCTAGGCAGGAAAACACAGAGCGTAGCTTTTATCCTTCTATCACAGCTATTTGGTTGGAAAGCAGTGTCTTAATCTTCTTGCTTTATGCTACTAATTCTTCTTTCGTGCTGCATGTAATCCAAGATTAATGGCATTGTTTTCTAATTTTGTTTTTTTTACTATCATGGAAATCTCATTAACTAAAGGAAACCTCTAAAATGTATTCAGGGCCTTATTTTTGAACAAATTCATCAAATAATTTAGCTAACATAGTTCTCCATTGTCCACAGAAGATTTTCCAGGAATGCAGTTACTCCTGGCTGTTACACATCAGTTGTGATCACCTGTTTCAATAACAAAAATACATACCTAATTTGCCCCTTCTGACTGTCTCTTTGTTTTTTCTACATTCTGCACTGTGTTCTCACTGAAAAAAAAAAAAAACAAACCAAAAAACCCACAAAAAAAAAAAGTGTTATTAGTCTGTAGGAAAGCAAACTGGTTCGTCTAGTAAAAAGTGCAGAGAAAAAGCTGCCATTGTTGGCTGCTCCAGGATCTTATTCCCTCTGTTTCTTATGAACTGGCTTTTAAGGTCTGCAGCATCTTGTGGAAGTAACAAAAGATGCTCCCGCAAGGTTTTTAGTACAATACCATTGAGAGGGGGTTGTTTACAGCTCTGCCAAAAGTACAAGAAAAACAAGCTGATTTTCAGGTTCAAAGACCAGAAGCCAACAATGTGTCCCTATTTGCCATCAGTGCTTAGACTAAACCTGTGCAAGGTCACAGCTTTATCTGTAGGTATAAAAAACTTGGAAAAGAATACCCAAGAATGGGCAACAGTCAGCTTGTTCTAATTATTCCATTGCAATTTGTTTAGTTATTGCTCTGTAACCTCAGAGAGGCAAGAGAAAAATGCTTTTTGGTTACAGCAGCAGTTATTATGGATATGAAATATCATTTTCCTAATAGAGTAAAGGTTGTACAGGAGAAAAATGTCAGCTGTACCTTGTGCCACTCACTTTGTAGCTGTCTCTTTGTGTGACTTAACACATCCATGATATTTTAAGTTTATGGATGTTTAAGTTAAAAGTTAAATGTCTGTGTGGCACCATGTGTAAGAAGCTGCAGGTTCAGTTAAGCAAAGCTTTCTCTGAGGGAACCCTAATGAATTGCTACCAACATCTAGGGCTTCGGTTGCTTCAAATGACATTTATTAGTTCTCAACTAACAGACAATGAAGACTTTATGAATAATAAGGAAAAGATGGATGAGCAGCTGCTGCTACGCAGTGTTACCGTGGGTGCCAGGGCTTCAGCAGGGATGCACCCAGAACTGCCTTTGCCTTTGCAGCACAGCACTTCCTTTGACAGGTCTGGATCCATCCCCTGAAAGCTCCTCAGTACTGCAAGAATGGCTGCCCCAGGATCTCTTCCAAATCCCCATTCTGAGTGTTTCCCAGCCGTTGTTCCAACAGTCAGGTGTTAATGGCCCACATCAACTCCAGGATAAGTAAATCCAGCCACTGCTGTGGTGTGCTTTGTGGAAATTTTAACGGTGGTAGAGATGATTCATGAATATTAATTGCTTTTAGTACTTTGGTATCCATCCATGATACTGCTGAAAATATATGGTTTGGAGACAGGGCATTGATTTGTACCATGATGAGGGGAGTTACTGTAATGTGCTCCAAACAGCTTTTAAATCATGACTATAGAGGAATTAAGACTAGTTTAATACAACTAAATAATACTCTTAATGATAAACCATTAAAATCAAGTTGACTTTTAGATTCTAGCAATTGTATCAGACAAGGTGATTACACTCAGCGTCAGTATTGATAATCATTAAAATAGATTAAAATATCAACTGAGAGATAAGAAACACTGGTTGACTCTGGCAGAAGTGCAGGTTTGATGTTACAGCTGTGTCACTTCTGCTCTCTGAAACTTCTTGCTGCTACATGGAGGTTCAGTAGGTACCAGTTCTTCATAAGCATCATGTGCCTCAAGACTACCACTGTTCTAACAGCACATTTTCTCTTTGAAAGTCTTTGGAGGACATGTTGCAGACTTCAGGAAGAATAAAGCATTGCATCATTTTGTCTGACTTGCTATTGGTAGCAGACTTGTACTCACTCCTGTTTGGACCCCAGTTGTTCAAATAAAGGACATCTTCAGGGTCTTAACACACCCAGAGGAAATGACCCTCACTGGGAAATGTGCCTTTATTTCTCAGCGCAACTAAATTTCTTAGTTGTTTAGGATCCTTAAGCGTGCAAGCCTCAGAGAGGAAGGCCAGACTCTACATTTTCTTCAGCGGCAGCCTGACCTTTCTCCTCTTAAAGGAAGTTCTTATAGGCCTGAAGAGACTTGTACATGAAATGACTCAGTTCTTCTGAAGAAGCTGGACATAAGGAGCTAATGGGACCACAGCACAAGCAAAGCCTAAGTATCTCAGGTGGAGTGCAGATGGACCCGAGGTAGCCCTAAACCCACCAGCCCATAGGCCAAACATCTCTCATGGACTAATGCTGTCTCCTTAGGGAAAATTGGCTCAGCAGAAGGTAGAATACTGAGCTAAAAACAGTGCAGGTTCAGGTAAGGCTGAGGCCCCCCCCGGCATCACAGCCCACAGGGCAAAGTGCCTGGTGTGGATGAAGGGGGAAAGGGAGGGAGGAATGCTGGAGCAGAGCAGAGCAGTGGGACAGGGTGACATGGTCACCCACAGCCTCTCTCCTCCGGGATTGCCCCCTAGCACTGATGTTATGGCATCCACAGCAAAACCAAACACCTTTGCAGGTCCAGTAGTAAGTGAAGATAACGGGAAGGACCAGAGGAAGCTAAGGAAGAGGGATATAATGCTGGGAGAGAGAAGAGGAAGATGTGTGTGAAGGGGAGTAGAAACTACCTAGTCAGAATTGATCCTTTTTTGCCATAGGCAACACTTGATGCCTGATGGACTGTCCGTAACTTGGGAGCTTGATGTTAAAAATATCCTTCTTATCAACAAGAGATGATGTTCACAACAAGGAAAGATGTTTTGCAAGTAGGGAGAATCGATGATGTAGAAGAGTTCTTGAGCATGTCAGAGGACAAATTGCCCAGTGTTTAAAACAGCTTCTTGGAAACACACTGTCCCGCTCCAGAGCTCTTTTGTGAGCAGGCTTTTAGTGGGTGTGTTACTCTCCACCCTTTGCTGTAATGCAGTGTGGCCATATTTGGGGCACTATGGTGAAGCATGGCTGCCGGTTTTGTGTTGGGGATATTGAACACTCACTTGTTTGTGCCTTCAATTGCAAAGGGCTTTTTAAAATTTATTACTGGTCTGGCTCAAGTTATTGTATGATCCTGTAAATACAGGCAGAAGATGGGCATTTTATGATGTCTGACTTGCCTACAATATTTTTTTATTAAGTAAACTGTAATGGTAATATTGGGT